CCACCCTGCTAGCTTACATTCTGACATTTCTGACATTTCACGTCGCGCCCACACGCACTCGTGCGTGTACCAATTTATTAAGGCTATACGTGACTTTGCATCTTTTTTTATGACGGTGACACTCCCCTCAGGCTGGCAGAATTTTAAACTCAAAGTTTCGTTCGTTAACTCGCGTTACGGACGGAGTAACGAGATTGGAAACTGTTTGCAGTTGTACCGTGTAAATTGATCGGGACAGAAGACGCGACAGATGCGAAAATTGCCGTACAATCGTCCCGGGGCATGTACTTGCTGTACAGCGCGAATGAAGAAGATTGCGGAATAAAATATATCGCTGACGAGTTATTGAGGCCTGGAGCGACGGAATTGAGTGCCTCTGACATTCTATCGTCATTGAAGCGCAAACAATCCGATCTTATTTATGCCGCGTATTAGCTTTAGCAGCGGAGCCAAGAGTAAAACAAGAAGTTAGCCGATATTTTTCAGCTGGGAAAGCAGGTGAGATACGGAAGAACCAATCTGACGGATTTGCACAGGGATTATATTGCGTGAGATATATTTCGCTATGCTTTCGTATGCCTCTACGAATGCCGCTGCGGTCATACGATTATTATATGTGACTAGAAAGCGTCACGCTCAATAGAGATATATACATTTGCGTTTACACTGCGAGATGGCGCAAACGCACGATTCTTGCAATTGAGAGAATACAATAGGTGTATCAAATGTCTCGTTCGCGACTCTGTCGCCACTGACAAGTGCAAAACTGTTTGTTGTTGGGACATTGTGGATTCTCTGGGCACACACACACACACACACACACACACACACACACACACACACACATACTGCGGCGTGTCGTTCATATTTTTAGTTAGTGGTTCTCGATAGACACGCATTTAAGAGCACTCTTGAGATGAATATCATTGTCGGTAATAGCGACACTCGGACAATTCGGTTGATTTGTGCAAATTTCTGTGAAAATTTTCATCATCCCGTGCAAAACCATCTCTCTATAAACTTTGTGAGACGTACCAATTCAAGACGGAGAAACTAGACTAGAGTCTTGACGATTAAACGTGATACGATCAATCAGAATGCATCGTCCACCGGGTATAATACGTAGGCGTGCCGCTCGAAATTTATCATGGCATGAGAGAGCGAGAGAGAGCGAGAGAGAGAGAGAGAGAGAGAGAGAGAGAGAGAGAGAGAGAGAGAGAGAGAGAGAGAGAGAGAGAGAAGGAGAAGGAGAGAGAGAGAGGGAGAGAGAGGGAGAGAGGGAGAGAGGGAGAGAGAGAGAGAGAGAGAGAGAGAGAGAGAGAGAGAGAGAGATTTATGAGCGCAAACAATCGTACTACAATTTGTTGTCGCGCGCTGCATCATTCGTGCCATGTGCAATGCATTCCCGATTATTTGACATGTCATCAAAGGCGCGATTGTGCGTCGTGCATGAGATAAGTCACATATCGGCAGCTACGCCTGCTCTTCTTCGTGCTCTCGTGATACGGTGATTATGATTATCGGTGAGCCGATATACCCCGAGCGAATTCTACTATTCGTACTTTCAAATCCTCTTTACTGTCATGCCGCAGAGCTTTGCGTAAAGCTTCGTTAAAGTTAGCTTCGTTAAGTCAGAGTTTGTTGCGTTTTGAAATTTACAGTCGCTCGAAATAAGGAGGACGTATTCTGTCACACAGTCTCGAGAAGGGGACGACTGGTCATCTCCTTCGCATTTTCTTACCGTTTTCAGAGCACATCTCCCGCGTACGTTTGCTAACGCTGTCATGTAAATAGCGTGACACAGATCACGTTTGACAATTTCTCGAGCCATATTTCTCTCGTGAATACGTTAGCTGAGCGTTCATGTTATAGTCGCGAACACGCGCTATAACTTTTGACTTTTGTTTGGTCGTAATCCATCGGCAGATGCACTTAAAAGAATCAAAGAGGGAAAATCGCTCGGCACAGTTCCGGAAATGTTCCGCCCCGCGCGTTCGCCTTTCGATCAGTTTTATCGCGAAACTTACAAGATGAATATCCGTAGCAATTCGTTTTCGCGATTGGAATAGATTTGACAGGATAAATTAGTTGGAAGTTTAGTGTGGAAGAATCGGCTAGAGAAAGGAATTTGCACGGAGAACAGAGAGAGAGAGAGAGAGAGGGGGAGAGAGAGAGAGAGAGAGAGAGAGAGAGAGAGAGAGAGAGAGAGAGAGAGAGAGAGAGAGAGAGAGAGAGAGAGAGAGAGAGAGAGAGAGAGAGAGAGAGAGAGAGAGAGAGAGAGAGAGAGAGAGAGAACGGAAACGATGCTCTCGAATGGGACACGATGACACAAATGAGTAATTATTCTTATATGGAAACATATGCGACTATCAACGCGATTACGCCGCGAGGGACTTTACTGAACCGGTACCAAAGGTCTTAGTCAGGTGCATCACCTTCATAGTGCCTATTAATCGATGGATCATTGCGACAAAACGTAAACGCAAACGTAAATGTAAACGTCCAGATCAAAATGTGGCTGGTGTAGTACGCACGAAGCGGAGAGACGACGTTGCTGTTGCACGACAGACGTGCAACAGGTGCAACAAGTGTGCATATTGTGCACGAAGCAAAGTCGCGTTTACTTGCACGCTAAACCATGAATTGTCGCTGCGAGCAACATTGCTGTGTTGACATACGTCACACAGTGGAATCGTACAATCTGTGTACTGCACTGTTCATTTTTACAATTATTTGCATTGAGACGAGTACGGGAGCCCTGTGTGCACGAGAAAAACGCTCGTTAAAATAAATAAACTACTAGCGGCCCGAAAGTAGAATCATTTGCGTAATTATATCTACATAGTAATCATATTACACATTACATTTATAGAACGCATCGCATCTTCATCGCGATCTTCCCGAGAAAACTTTTCTCGAGAAAATAAATCAGTCGTAGACAGAGTCGTAGAGATGCCAGAGTAATATACATATACAAGGTTCCTCGACACTCTACACTCTACACTCTGTTTCAGCATAACAAACGCAGTCGTAACTGACGCGACGCATGCATTTGCACGAAAGTCATTCATCAATCATAAGCAGATTGTTCAATTAACTGAGAACTAATTAACTGTGAAGCGAGAGAATCGCATCGACAAAACTCGCTTCTAATTGGATGACTGCCGCATGAGTCTCGACTTTGGGCACGTATCGCCCCGTATTGGATATGGTATTCGGATCGTCGAGCGAAGAAGCATTCGCAAAATTCGCTAGCGTCAGATTTGGAATTGTTTCTGCATCGCAACTACGGTTTTTGTCAGAGACATTATATGACAACATAAAGTGCATCCTACGCGAGAACAATGGGATTGTTGCGCGCGCGTGTATGTCACGGGAATAGGTAATATTTATAATTGCTGTGACGTATGCGTTTTTTTATTACGTGTAAATTGAATCAATTTAATAGAACCGTACGTTTGAATCCAATGTGAAATTTCTCATTTCTATGTGTGCAATGCGAGTATTTTATCTAAATGTGATATCATCTCTGATAAAAATCGACCCAGTCGATTCATCAATTGTTAACGCGGTGACAAAAATAACGCCAATCTTGCTGAGGTATCAGGCAACACATTTGTACATGTGTACATGCGCGTGCGTGTACACATATCGAGAACGAGAATGTTACTGATTTCTGTCTGTCCCGAAACCTTGTCTGCAAAATAAATGAAGAAAATGTGTGTGTGCGCGTGTGTATGTCTCGCCGAAATAAACTTGATTGCCGATTATGACAAAGCGGTAATCAAAATCGACAGTGACAGACTTATCATCGTCGCGATTGTCTCGGTAATATGACATATATGTCGTTAATTACGCTGATATTACCAACGCTAATATCGGTATCGACAATGATATCCGACTCGTCCTAGGACGAGGTGAAAGATGTCGCCGAAGCGTCGACCGAGCAGTCTCAATGGACGTTAAGTGGGTCCAACGTGCGCCGAAATGTTGTAATCTCACACGCAACGCTCCATCCGACAAGCGTGATATCGATTTTCCAAGGCGTCTGATTTTCGTGCTCCGCCCGAGTGCACAGGTGCGACACGGCGAGTCGTAGCGCTAATTGTATTAAAGTCTGATCAAATTTGCTAATCGGAAAATCAATTCGGGAAATCACGATCGCCACGAGAGAGAGAGAGAGAGAGAGAGAGAGAGAGGGAGGGGAGGGGGGCGCTATAATGTAATATTTCCTTTCTACATTCTTTACTTGTGCGCAAGAAAGAGGAAAGAAATGCATGCGATTTTTTACGATTTTCAACGTGCGCATGTACAACTTGTAGCGTTAAAAATAATCATTCGTCTTGTTTAATATCAAGCCAACTTTGCTTCGATACGCAGACTCAATTAACAAGGCGGACAGTGTTGCCTGAAGAAGCATGGAAACGATTTGCGTGTCCAAAGGATAATTTCTGGTCGATGACAGAGGGGAAAAATTGAATCGAAAGTGATCTAGAATCTTAAAAAACTTGTCTGTAGTCGAGAGATGGTACGTAACTTGTGGAGCACCGCATATACTCCGCATATACTCCCCGAAGGTATCGGGGTTAAGTATGAGCAATCATCCAATCAAATGAGATGTTAAGAATCGTGTCCCGTTGGCAAAGGTACTCGACACCGTCACAAAGAGTCCGAGTAGACCAGATCGTCGTCGGGCGTAAACAATAGCGGGTAATTTAGAATCGGTATTCATTCGTGTGATTAGCGTATACATTTGGATTAATTGTCGTGTTGCGTGTACGAGAAAGGAAAGTGGGTGCTCAACATTCATCATTCTCACTGCCGATTGTTGGTGACCAGCAGCAGTTGCTCCCACGAAACACAAATATTGAACATGTACCGAGTGTGATAAGTATGAGGAGAATGCAAACAGCAAACTTGTATCAATGAGCAATTGTCATTGCGTGACAAAAGTGACATATACACACACACACACACACACACACACATATATACGTTACCTTCACGGGTATGCAGAATATAATTAGCAAAAGATCAGCCGTAGCTAGGCCCCCCAAGAAGACATTCGTCGGTGTCGCTGGTAGCGGTCTGAGCCGTGGACAGAGGGTGGAAGCAATCATAACGACGTTTCCTGGAAGAAATTACGATTCTCTCGCAAAGCTGCTCGTCCGAGCTCGTGGCTTTTCCTTCGGGCTATCTCAGATAGAGCCAAGAGATATCGGTCACACACACACACACACACACACACACACACACACACACACCAGGCAATTGATAATATAAAACTTGGAAGCGCTATGTTGCGACATTTACGCGGGAAAATGAAGATAATCGTGTGATTACTCCAACTTACCGACCAATCCGAGGACAAAAGTTAAGCCGTAAACAATGAGCACGGGTGCCAGTTCAGCCCAATTAAAATAATTAAAGGATTCGTTAATGTCGTAATCGTATTCGTAGTCGTACGTTGCGTTGGTGTCGTTGGACGTAACGATCGTCAACTCTTGAACAGTCGGCATTTCGTCGGGATCGTGAAACAACACTTGATCGTGAAAAATTGTCGTCGAGTATCAAGCGTCTTATACAAACGGCACGGGCACGCACGTTTCGATGCGTTCACCGCGAGATATTCCTGTTCTTACTTCCGTTTAGGTACTGACACATCAAGTGAATTCCGCTCCCGCTTCAGTTTCTTCCTTCTCATTCTAACCAATGCAATCGCTCGTTGCACTGGAAAAAAAGAAGACAAAGGGAAATTATCAATTGCGCAGAGGTGCGCGGTTTATTTAGCTTTGTTCGATTAAACGTGTTTATATTAAGCGTATTTGTCCAATATCTCCTTTATAGACGAGATATTTGGTCGAACGGACCATCATCCGTTACAGTCACTGGCAGTCACGAAGTAATATATTTAGCAGAGATAGATAGATAGATAGATTGTCGTTCAAATGAACGTACTTATTTGGTGTAACTGATCGATTGATTAATAAGCATTGCTGCTTCATTTATTCGTCTGTATGTACAAACTGTCACTTATTTATTCCGTCGTCCGTATGCAGAATGCAAGCATGTATGTACAAGATGGAATCTTCAACAACAACAACAACAACAATCAATGCGTGCGTAATCAGTGCGCGATTGCTCGCACGTGCGTGAGAAAAGAGAGAAGCGGAAAAGTACTTTGAAATTATTATGACGATATTATGACGTATAATATATAGCGCGCCTCTATGTTAAAGCAATCGTTAAACACCTTTTTGAAAGACAGTTGGTACATCCAGGGAGAACTGGGAATTCCATTTTCGACGTCGAATTAAATCCAAAATCGAATTATCCAATGTACCAGCGGCACGTTGCGGCTCGGGTCGCAAATGCGTCGCGTTTGTCGCGTCATGATGCATTTCCCAAGCGCACGATATTACGAGTACGAGAGAAAAATCAGAGGAGAAAAATCATTAGCGTACATTATAACGACATGGATTACAGCGAGTCATGTTGCAGTCGCATCATATGTTACTCTTAATAAGGTCTTCTAATGAAAGAAACGAAAGGAACAAACGATTAGAAAGAAGAAAGGAACAAATGTTTGTGCACGAAAGGGACCACCTTACTTTTTGCCCAGTCTTTACAGTGTACAATTTGCTGCAACTCTACAACTACAATAATAATCTGATCACTTTCGCAACTTTCATTCTGAAGATTCTGAAGCACAGAACATACTTGTACTCGGAAAAAATGAAAGAACTTAATAAATACTACATGGTCTTTTTCGTTTGAGGATTTTTTATTTTGTGTGATACTCTCATACGTGATCATTCTTCGTGATCATTTCGTACGTGATCACGTTTCATACTTACGGACAATGAATATCTTTAACAAGACAAGTGTGGCACGCGTACTCGTACGTGCGCGCGCGATCACGCTCCATTTTCGATATTTAACTGTATTACTGAAAACTAATATCATTTGCACAAATGCTTTTAACATAAAACGAGGCAAAAAGCACATTTTATTGGACGCAAATATTAGAGAGAGAGAGAGAGAGAGAGAGAGAGAGAGAGAGAGAGAGAGAGAGAGAGAGAGAGAAAATCGTAATTAAAGTTGATTTAACAATATTCAGGTGCACTAATTTTACTGACTATAATACTTAATGACTATAATAATTAATAAAGTTGTTTTACACACACACAAATTCTCAACTTCTCTTATCTCAACTTCTCAATATCAGTAAACTAGGTTCAAGTCTTTATTTGACAATTTCTAGATATTTCGAAAAATTAGATATAATTAGGTATATAATAATAGTTTTTGCTTCATCACATTTTTATCCGAGTAGATTTGTAGATACATATACTCGATCTATTTTTTCTCTTATTGGCATGTCCGCATAAAATATAACATGATGAATTCCCATAATCGATGATTGTAAAACAATAGTACCGATGTTAAATATAGATAAGTACAGATAAATAAATCGGAATGAATCGGAAAGAATTGGCCAATCGGTTAAGAGGAGCGTAGAAACCAACAATTGGAAATTGGAAATTGGAAAGACGCTTTGCACAATTAGCTGAGCCGTCTGGGGTGCAACGAGAGGAAGCGTTGGTGAAAATCCTATGACAATTTCGTTTCGCAAAGCCCTATCTCCGTCCGTTTTATCTTCTGCGTCTGTTGTCTGCACGGATTAGTCCATCCGGTAATAAATCTCTACGTGAGAAACGATCATTCGCAACGATCGGATATGTGTTATGGGTAGAATGTAAAACTTTTAGATGAAAAGTGGAAAGACATAACGTCGCGTAAAAGAGAGCGTAAGAAATGTATTGCTAAAAACAGGAAGACAAGAGACAAAAGGAAAGAAATTTTTTGATGAGTTTTTCACGACAGATTCTCTTCTCGCTGCCGAGAGGTCTCGTACTCCGATTTTTACACATCCTTCCAACCGTCACGCGTGCAAAGATAGCGCAGCCACAATAACAATACTGGCTGCGTTACGTTTTTTATTGGCACTTTGACTTTGGCGAGTGTGATGTCACAAATCGGCACGCACCACTGCGACTGTTTTCGGCTTGCTGCTTCATTACTGCGGGCATGTCTATCGTATTGTATAATGATATTGCGCAGCAGTTGCAACAGCAGCGCTTGCTTGATTAATTCCAACAGCAGAGATATGACGATATCGGATACCTAATTTGTTTTGCATGCACAGTTTGTACGTGTGGCACAAGTATTAGATCTGTAAGTACACACACAGCGATATTTCGGAAGAAAGCGTCGGAATATCGGTTCTTTTGGTTTTAATCGATCAGTCAATATTCGAATAACTTGCGAGCCAAGTATTTTGCTTCAACTAAAGTCACGACAATGCGACGATGAAGCGATTTTCCTTTGGTACCTTCAGTCATTGCTGCAGCAGTTTTCATCGAAACACAAAACACAAAACACAGAATAAGATGGAGAGATCTGCTGCTGTAAATTCGATGCAGTTCGATCGCGCGCGCTAACGCCGCGTTTTGACGCGATCGACGACGACGACGACGGTATTAATTATACGTACAATTATCTGTCAGTATAATGTGCGCACGTGTACGTGCACGCACAACGCCACAGGGCGTTTGCAACATTTGCGCGATCGGACTGACCAACCAATCCGCGTGTAATACGAAAAATAATCCCACTTTCTCGCGTCGCGTCGCATTATCGCGCCTACTGTAAGCCGGCCGGCAGCCGGCAAACTAGCCGTTATTTCGGCCACTTTGATTTTTGTCAACGGCCAACGACCAACCTTCTCTTTGCCAACTGGCAACGCCCGCAGGCGTTATCCCTTTTCGCCACATGCAATGGCGTAATCGGAGCGGATACGGAAGGCGGAAGGAGGCGTTTATTTTCGTGCTAATGCGCGTCTTCGGTGTGGTTAGTGTGCCGAGAAGGCTCCATATTTTTATCAGAAATATTTCGATCGGATGGCTCGTTGGAAGAAATCCACTACATCGATTACATTGCATTATTGGATGGATTTTGCGACAGGTCGCTAGAGCTAGTAAATCTACACAATTGAAAAGTAAAATACCTTGGCTTCCAATTAAGTGTCGACGTCGATGTGACATCGATGCGCGATGCCAGTTCACGTGGTATCATTGTATCGTTGTATCGCCACACGCGAGATACGAGATTCACATTTGACAATTGATCGTTGTACACTATTTGTCGCTCGAGTCGCGCAGCTGACATCCGAGCCGACTCGCACTGTTCCTCTCGTCGTATTGTCCAACAATATTTTATTATTAGATTTTTAAACCAAGAAAAAAGGATATATATATATATATATATATATCCTTTTATATATATGTCGCTATCAGGAACCTCACTTCCGTATTTTTATTACGTAGCAACGTAGCTAAGTAGATAATAGGGTTGCGCGACGCCGCGACACGACTCATCTAGGCGTCGATTGTAAACTGGAGTCGAGACGCGCACCGTGACCGACCAACAAACTGCCCGCCAAGCCGAACATGGGCGAGCGCGGCCGAGCAATCGCGCGACATGTGTTGCGCGCTATACGACTCTATTCCTTAATTAATAATCGTTTATGCCGTGCATGAGGCCGTGCATTGGCGAACCAATTTCGGCATCGCCGAAAAGAGGTGCTTTAGCAGTCGTTTCGAAAGAACATTGCCATCTTTTGAATTTGACTCGATCAACTCGAGCGGCTTTGCTTTGCGGTAGACTGCAGTCTACAGTCTACAGTGGAGAATAAAACGGTCGTGATTGATCATTTTGGACTAGACAATTATTTCAATTTATTTGAACGTTCCGACGAAAACGAGCCAGCCAGAGCTCGTCAGCTCGTCAACGGAGCGAAACTGTCCGTTCTGCTGCCCTTTACGTCGTCAAATGTGTGTCTAGAGCTAATAAATTTCCGATTTCTTTCGTGAAATTCCATGCTAATTTTGTGTCATCTCGTAGGTGATCAAGAGAGCCTAGCGATTCGGTTAATTAACTCAACCGAGCCAAGAGGCTGTTGGCATAGCACTCGTGGCGAACTGTGTTAACCATGTTGGTACAATCAACATCTGGACCCGTATTGCACCCGTGACCTACAACAATGCAACATACAGTGTAACGTCAATTCTGCGTCTGTGTGTGTTTGCACTTGTGCGAATGCAGAGACACACGATCATATTATACACGCGTCAACTGAACCACTCGCTGAGTAAAGTAACGCATTGAATTTCATTAGCGTATATGACACTCACTCTTCACTTTCTTCTTACAATATTTCTTCTCTTATTATTTCTCAAATGCGTGAGTGAGACTTGTATTATCATAATATTGTGGCGCGCGTTGCTATTATATCATTACCACACCAAGATCGTTTCAACGGAGAGCAACGGTTCGTTATATCTTCTACACTTTGAGACTAATGTTTATGTTGAATGAAATCAAGTAAGATCTTTGGATTCTTCTTGTTGCTAAGAATCTTCTTTTTACTGAATAACGTAGTAAAACGTACGTGACGGAAACGTTCAAAAATTCGCAAGTTTACATCTCGAGCTTTAATCGGTTTATTGTCGGTTAATTGTAAAAATTTGTCTGATGGATAAATTTTGCAGTTTGTACTACATAACGAAGTTGTGTTTATTCTTTTTGAGAAAATTTCAAAGAATATTGCTATATATTGCTTTGTAACTAGATTTAACAGCTCGAAAGTATACGGAAAGCTTGCAGAAAGATTTTTATACAGTATGCGTAGTTAGATTTTCCGCTAATGTGATGAAACAGAGCAGTACATATTCACACGAGGTTTATTTGTACGAGTGAAATACAAAAAGGGTAATATGATTATGTTGGACGAATAAGAGAGACAGACAAACAGACAGACAGAGGGAGGGAGAGGGAGAGGGGGGGGACAGAGAGAGAGAGAGAGAGAGGGAGAGAGAGAGAGAGAGAGAGAGAGAGAGAGAGAGAGAGAGAGAGAGAGAGAGAGAGAGAGAGAGAGAGAGAGAGAGAGACAGAGGGAAGGAGAAACACAGACAGAAAAAGCGTTTGTTTGACATAACGTTTGAACGATCGTCTCTACGTTATCGACATTTTTGGAATTCGTGACTCGCTTTAGCATTCAAGCATTTAGCATGCTTGGTACATAACAGAGAATCACTGATACATCATTTGTGATCATCGGATCAATTTACCATCTGACATACACACCGCAATCTGTTCCAAATTACATACTGTCGATGGGATAAAACAGATGGTAAAATAGAAATTTTTGTAGGTAAAGTAGATTATCCTTTCAAACAGGTTCGACATTTCGTTTGTAAAAAAGGAGCGACCAAATCTTCTATCTATATAATTATATTTCTGTCACGTGTATGTGCGTGCGTACGTGCGTGCGTGCGTGCGTGCGTGCGTGCGTGCGCGTGTACGTGTGCGCGACATCACTATTTATATAAAGAAGAGGAAATATGTATCGATTGAAGGAATATAGCAGGATATTTATATATTGAATAGATTTATACAATGATATACTATTTGTGATAAAACTAACTATAATAAAACTACAAGATGTACTATAAAGTGACTTACGAATTATTTGGGTTAAAGTTATTATATAAGTTATTATATAAGTTAACATCTTTTAACATAATGTTACAAGAGTGAGATGTAATGAATAATAAATGTAATATACAACGATTAAATATCATGAAAACAATCTCATCGACATGTAAAAAATGTAATACAAGTTTCATGTGATAATTTCATGTAATGTTTTGAATCACACACATCTTGCCTGAGCTCCGTCATCACGCATCACGATCTATACTGCATCAAATAAGAAGTCACATTGTTCTTCCCCTTTTGTCTTTTCATCCTTCTCCCTTATTCTCTTCTCTTACCTCGTAAATTTTACAGATTATTCTTGTCAAGGGCTTCCGGACAACGCTGACACTCACTTACACTCGAATAAACGAGCAGTGTTACTAAAGGGTGATCCCGTGACAGTAATCCGATACTTGACCGATGCAGATAGACGTGCGGGATATAAAACGTATTCCAAGGGCGGAAGTTCAAACGCAAACTTTGACAGTTTTGGAATATTCATCGGTGTATATAAACGCAGCCAGTGCATGCAGGTACTGTTCTTTCTCCACAAAGACCGAAATAAATATAATATTTGTTTTTGTCGACTGCATGAGGTCCGTTTGAATAACGACCTTACAGTCGGTGAAGCAAATTGGATCATTCCGTCATAGTGTGATTACGATTACCGCCATAAATAAACAATTGTAAAAATGTAATAAATTACTTTATTTGATCAAGAGGCGAGGTAAGGCGAGACGAGACGAGACGAGACGAAGCAAGACAAGGCTTCGCGTGGTGAGGTGAAGCGAGACGGTTTGCTTACATTTGTGAAAATTACACTCACACATTGTAACGATCTAAAAAAATCTTAATGATTTTATCAAACGTGTATAAATATTTATACATAGTTTTTTCAACCTTTCAACAAACAAACACGACGAAGAACCCGTACGTTTGTATGGGTTTACACCACGAGGCTCATACGTATCGAGGTACCGAAGCTCGGTCAGTGCCGCGGCCACCCTCGTATCGTACAGTTTGTGAGGGAGGAGACCGGTTGTTCCTGGCATCCCCTCTGTGGATATACATGTGCATATAACATACACACACACACACACACACACACACACCTACGCATACACACATACGCATGTATATATACATATACAAATATATATACATACATATATACATACATATATACATACATATATATATATACATACATACATACATACATACATACATACATACATACATACATACATACATACATACATACGTACATACGTACATACGTACATATATACATGCATACATACATACGCACGCGCGCGCGCGCGTGTGTGTGTGTGTGTGTGTGTGTGTATACATACATACATGCATGCATGCATGCATACATATACACATATATGTGTGCACATATACATCATACATATATATATAACACATGTATACATATACACACGTATATATGGCTATTCCCTTTCTCTTCCATCCCTCTCCCGACTTAATGCCAGTGCGATCGCAAGCGCGACCGGGAGCGCGCGCTTTCGAACGACGCGCCGTGTTCGCTGCGAGGAACGATCAGTCTGTTCTCCACGTTCTCCACGCAAGGACTGTGGTTGACTGCTCCCATTTAAAATCTAAATTTTAACCGTTTATCAGTTCGGCCGTATACGTATTCGGTAATATATAAGTGATCGTCATACATACATATAAGCGTTTCATGCGAACAGAAGTTCGTGTGTTTACTAATCGCTATCACGTGTGGTCGCGAGTTGGAAGAAATGTGAGATGACTCGCCAAAAACCAAAACTTGATATTGTATCGTGAGTGAGCGGTCCAGTTTTATTCATTCATATAAAAATGTACACGCGCGGGCATTAGTATGTTTGCTTTGTTACGACCCAATTGGTATTCGAGACCGTCTTTGCCGTCGTCGCCGTCGCCGCCGCCGCTGCCGCCGCCGCCGCCGCCGTCGTCGTCGTCGTCGTCGTCGTCGTCGTCGTCGCCGTCGTCGTCGTCGTCGTCGTCGTCGTCGTCGTCGTCGTCGTCGTCGTCGTCGTCGTCGCCGCCGTCGTCGTCGTCGTCGTCGTCGTCGTCGTCGCCGTTGTTGTCGTCGTCGCCGTCGCCGTCGCCGCCGCCGCCGCCGCCGTCGTCGTCGTCGCCGTCGCCGCCGCCGTCGTCGTCGTCGTCGTCGTCGTCGTCGTCGTCGTCGTCGTCGTCGTCGTCGTCGTCGCCGTCGTCATTGTTATCGTCGTCATCGTTGTTGTGGTTGTCGTCGTCGTCGTCGTCGCTGTCGTCGCCGATATTATCATCGTCGTTATTGCCATCGTGGTCGTCATCGTCATCATCATCGTCGTCGTCGTCATCGTCGTCGTCGTCGTCGTCGTCGTCGTTGCCGCCGCCGTCGTCGTCGCGTTGATATTTTATGCGATAATTTCGAGATGAAGCCATTCTTCATACTAACGATCGTCTGTCTATTGACGGAGATCGTTGATTCCCGAGCCATCGAAGATGCTACCAGTGACAATCAGCGTGGTAAACGACAACGTAGGTTCTCCGTCGAGGAGCTACTTACTGCCAAGTTCCCGCACGTTATCACCGGAGATTTGGACATTGACATCTGTAAGGCTGGTAAGCGCAGGGAAAGAGCATAATAATTATATGCCCCCAATTACTCGGATTATCATAGGATAAAGTGAATGTGATCGCCGCGTTTTCATTTTACCATTTAAAACATGTTATTATTGATAATACAATGTTTTTCTGCTCGCTAATTGTACGATACAAATATATTTCTTTCACTTTCTTCAACACAAATACGCAAACGTACATACACGGCTTCGGCGGTGATACGTTCCATTTTGTATTTAATTGTAATTGCTTTTGTTGTTATTTTTAATTGTATTTCATAATAGTTTTTATTATGTTTCATAATAGTTTTCACTTGGGAATAAATATAAAAGGCGTTTACACTCGCATCTTTCGAAACGCCTCCTCTTTTTATCTAAGCGATTCGATTACACAGCCTTCTGATAATTATATTTGTAACAGGCGGTCGGATAGATTGAATTGATCGTCTTTATCTTTTATTATCTCCTCTCTTCTCAGAATTGTAAAGACTTGTTATATTCAAGATGAATCTGACACTAAAGGTTGAGGATTGCCAAAGTAGAGGGGCGGGGGTGGGAGATTGAGACATCTCTTCATCCTCTTGGAATGATTATCTTGAAAAGTATCTCGAGAACTACTTGGACGAAGCGACAGCGAAGCAAAAGAAAAGAAATGGGAAACGATATGACGCAATGTATTTTTCGGGCATGGTGTTAATTTGGTTCGAAAAAAGTCATTTTTTATCAGAGATATATGGATTCGTCATGGTGACGATGTTAATATTTAGACAATATCTGAATTGTAGCCGCAGTAATATTTGAACGAAAGCAAAAGCAAAAGTGAGAGAGAGAGAGAGAGAGAGAGAGAGAGAGAGAGAGAGAGAGAGAGAGAGAATTACCTTCATTTTTAAATATGTTTCGATTTCACTCATCTATAGTCGCATCCCTTTTCTATACATTTTTTCATGAGCCATAATACTTATCCTCTAATCAGCGTTCTTTACTGCCACTTTTTAACTGTCTTTATTAACAGCCGATATCACTTTCGTAACACCATTTTCATTTTCATTTTATTAGACTGGTCGGTTAGATAATAGGTTAGGTATTAACCATGAATTAATCTTAAAGAAATGCACAATCCTATGTAGAAGATTATCAATTTGGCTTCGAGAATGAAATAACAGCTGAGTAAGACAGCTTGAAGAAAATAATCTCGCTGTACAAGATGGTCAATGATTCGACAGCGATTGTTATCGACTATTCCCAATTGTTGTGGCTTACCGTTGAAGAAACGACACATCTTTCGTTTGCCGTTTGCAAATTTAGCCGATGTGATGAGAGATTACTAACTAAATGTCTGAATTTTCTGGTCTTTGTGAAGAATTTCGTAACATGAAGAACGCTATCACATGCTGGGAAAGTTTTGCATTGTTGATAGGTCGGAACGAAATTACAAACATTACAATTGGTTCGCGTTGGTTGGTCTTTACGATAATATCTTGCCAAGCAAGATTACTCTGCTGTCGTTATGGTCTACAGAATTCTTCGTTCCTTTCAATTATTCGAAGCAATTCTAATTTTCATAACGAGGAAAAAATACGTTGCTATCTTTCATGTTGTTATAGAAGGCCGAAGAAAAAGTTTGCCCCTCTCGGATATCGTTGAGGAGAGATCGCGTGTTCTCGTAACACTATAATGCATCCTGATATATGCTCTTGATACTCTAAGAGCCCGTTTTTCCTTGTCTTGTCTCGATTGCATGTAGAAAGACGACCAAAGACGAGAGAATTTTTCGTCCATATATATTCGATTCATCTTAAACAATCTTATCGTATTTTATCGTATTTTTGAGAAGCTCCACTCGTGTGAACACGATTTGTTACACAGGTGATCCAAAAAGGTGCGTGACGGTATAGGTATAGATAGAAATAGGTAGAAATATGCATCGCGAAGAAGTAAGAAGGTAATGCAGAGCCGAGAAAATATACTTGAATACATACATTGAATATATGTCGCAGTTATTATGTAGTAAGAATGATTATAGAAAATTCAACAAATTGTCGATACTTTACAGTCATCAGTGACTATTAGAAATATAAATGTTTTGCGGATTGTTACTTTCCGTACGGATTATACATAACATGTAGAATCTATTGTTCTACGTTTTCTCGCATGGCACTGTCTGATGCACACGCGCACGCACGCACACACACACACACACACACTCACACACACACACACACACACACACGCACGCACGCACGCACGCATGCACGCACGCACGCACGCACACACACGCACGCACGCACGCACGCACGCACGCACGCACGCACGCACGCACGCACGCACGCACGCACGCACGCACGCACGTACGCACACACATACATACACACAAATCACGATCGAAAGAGAGGGAGAGTGAGAGAGAGAGAGAGAGAGAGAGAGAGAGAGAGAGAGGGGGGGGGAAGAAGGACGGGTGAGAAAGAGACTAGATGTGTTGGAATTGAAATACGATGTACAACGCAATTACCGCAAGGTTTAACATTACATCTGTCAGGTATCCAACGACACTATCCAACGAGCGCATATTTCATGTTTCCGTGAAACACATACATCTCGGGAAACTGAGTTATCACTATATATCGTACGTACAGCTATTCGTGCAACACTATACAGCGAGATTATCTTGCGATATCACATCTCGACAACATCTCAATATTTGTTCATGATGTCCAAGTACAATAAACGAGAGAAAGTAATGCAAACAACAAGATGTAACAACGTTACTCCGCTGAGAATAAACGTATTGATACGTGTAGCAGTACCAAATCAATCGGGCACAACAGTTGGCCAATATTTCTTTACCGAAGCCGGAGTTTATGTGCGAATATCACGTAGAGTTGACATTGAAAGAACGCGACAAATAGTAAGTCACGTTATGACAATAAAACCTGAACAAATGAGTTTCTTTCCTTCATACACTTTCGCGTGCAAGTGAAAGAATTTGCCGAAGTGTGTTGATTGTCGATTGTCGAGAAGAGAAACTTTATTATACTTTATTACTAGCACTATTATACACGAGATAGTCGTTCGTAAAGCACTGTGAATCGATTGCAACCGATTCTCGGTTAAGTTGATATACCGCGCCGTTTGCTTCGCTTTCCTTCTGTTTGCTTGATTATCACATTGGGAGATAACATTTAACCTCCGCCATGCCGCTGATACGCAGTTGGAACGGCTCTTTCTTTAATTGCCGAGGAGGAAACAAGAAATTATATTTTCCAACACACCGGCAAACCAGGACTACTTTCTTTCATCGAGAATAACTCTTTATGATGTTACTTTTTTTCCAATCCGTGGGTTCGTCAATCAAATATCATACCGATAGAATAGATAGATACAACCGGATAGATAGAACCGATAGATCATACCGATAGAAAAGTATAGTTGAATTAACTATAAATCTCACTATATTTTATAGTTCATTTTGGCGTCAACCATATTTTTATTCGTGGTTGCAGGTTCGTGGAACCTGCAAAATATAGTAGAATAAATATAGTAGAATAAACGCAAATATATAGTGCAAAATATAATAAAATAAACGCAAATATATAGTCAATGATTGTCTTAAATAATTATTTAGTTACTTTTACCACATATATGGTAATTTCTCATTCACAAATATAGTGAGATTTAATATTCATATAGTTACATCTGTCATCATTTAGCAAATATTCTGGTAGTATTGACTATATAAAAGAGTTTACCTACCATTTTATACTTGTATCCATACAATAATTTTAGTTTAACTTACTATAATCCTTAGTAAAAATATATCATATGGTTGGTTATACAATGCCTATATCGTAATTATTATCGATATTATGGTAATACTATAAATATGATATTTCGGACTATAATTTACTATAAGTTACTATACCATTATAGTTCCAAATATCATATACTTTTCTCTCAATGCAGTCAAATATCATTCGATGCTCGCGTAGTATATAATATACAGTGCGTGCCATGTCCTTTGTTACGAGCCAGCGATTCGGATCAGGTTTCGATCGTAGAGATATAATTTAATCAATATTTATTTTTCGGATGAACGCGCGTGGAATGACGGCATACAGCCGAATCAAACTCAGGAAGTAGAAAGCGAGACGAGCTGAGGCCAAACGTGAGGAGAAGTTATTCCACGGGATTAGGTCGAATACTCACCTGGGATGAAAGACAGACCGTGACGGTAGAGTAGCAAAGAGGTAGATCGAAAAGTCTACTAGAGAGATTTCGTAGGCCTGAAATTTGTCTCACGAGCTTTCGCTGCCGCCAATGACCATTGCTCGCGAATGAATTAAAAATGGAGCCTTATTGAGGAACGTTGTAAACACAATGAATCACTATTGACATGGTCTTATTATCGCTCGGCAAGTAACAATGGCAGTCATTTGGATGACGATCGTTTCTTAATAACGCAGCTTGTTCTCGCAATTAGCTTTGCAAAGGCACTTGCATGCTTTATACCGACGAGCTCTACATCGAGTATTCTCCCCTATAATAGTAGCAGTAATCCCTTTCTCTTTCTGTGAATCCTTGTGACAAGACTTTGGTCCTTAAACCAGCGCGACAATTTCGGATGTCGATAATTTTAAAAAGTTGTCCCTTCTGTTTCTCTATTATTATATCGATAAAACATTTCCTCTACCCTACCACATTCTACATTTCTACATTAATATCTCCTTACGTTACTTAAAATTTACGAAGGTTTCGCACGCGTGGATCAGTATTTATATCGCGCGCGATCTGCCTTGTCCTCCCTTTATATTAGATCTCACATCTTTTCTCGACGGCGATGCGTATTAAATGAACGAGTTCAAGAAGAACAAACGTCGGCATAATTTCCCGAGGAAAGTAATTTATACGATCAAATTCACGAATTGCACGAGAAGAGAAAGGAGAGATAAATTCGTTACCCTCGATGGGACACCGAAGCCCTCATACATGTGTCAAAATATCCCAAGTCGGATGCGCAAGATATGTATCTGTGCATACTAGAAGTATGAATAACGAAGGGGATCTTCGAATAGCCGTAGGTAGAAAGAGACCAATAGGGAAACCACAACTGCGCTCGGAAGGCTGTGTCAGGAGGGATGCGGTGGAGCTCTCGAATGCTACCAGCTGCAAGAGTCTGGCAGATGAGCGGTGGATGAGTGGAAGAGAAAAGTGTAGGAGGCTGATACTCACAGTCTCGGCTCTAACATCAGTGGCAGAGGCAGAGGAGAAGAACAAATAGTCTCCTTAATCATCGCGGAAGCGTCGCGTGCGCTCAAAGACAAAAAAGAAAAAGAAAAAGGAAAAGAAGAAGAAGAGGAAGAAGAAGAAGAAGAAGAAGAAGAAGAAGAAGAAGAAGAAGAAGAAGAAGAAGGAGCAAAAAGAAAGAAAGAAAGAAAGAAAGAAAGAAAGAAAGAAAGAAAGAAAGAAAGAAAGAAAAGGAAAAAGAAAGAAAAGGGAGAAAAATATCGTATCATTGCGAAGCTCGCGCATTTCAAGCCCGAGCAGAAAAGTGTCCTTAATCTTTGCAGCTTTTTGTCCGGCGGATAATGCTAAACGTTAATAACTAGGTTGACTTGACCAAGTTAATAGCATCTCGCGTCAATTTTCGCGAATATTCAATTTATACGATGATCCATTGCCGGCCTTTGATCTTATTAATTGCAACTATTAACAACACATAAAAATGACATAGAAATTCCGTACGTTGTTCATATTCGCGCTCGTATGATCTTCTCAATAATTACTTCTCGATAATTAACGTAATAAATTGGTCGTTTCATTCGCGCAAGAAGAACGCCGCGCTACTTTGCTCGCGCGATTTCATTTCGTAAGGGAAGTCAATCAGTCAAGTTGTCATTGGTACAAAATTGATCTGTGCAGCGATATCGGTGCAAAATCGGTGAAAGAATTGACCATTGCCTGAAGTATTGCGAGCCGTGGCGAGAAAGAAAAAAAGGAACGGTGAGAAAACAGATATAAAGTTGACGTCAGTAGTGTACGCAAGCGTTTAATCCGACGCGATAGAGACTCACTGCGCGATGCGAGAGGCTTCTCCATTCGAATCAATACAGCATACACTCGTACACATACATACTCACGTAATCCATATGGAATACATACATATGTAATACACGCATGCGGTACGTCGCATTATGTTGAGAGTGAAAATAGCAGACGTTAATACCAAGTCTGGTCGGAATTTTTTCTGTTTATGCGTCGCATTCACTTCGTACATCGCGCAGCCTCTTAATAAATAATAAATTCGTCGTTAATGCCGTATCGTTGGGAATCTCTATGCCATTTCAATCATCTTCTGAGGATATAATGTGTAAGTAGGTTCGGGGGGAGGGGGGGGAGGGGTCGCTGGATTATTATCATATCAAACGTTCTATCGTAAAAGCATTACAATCTCAAAAAAACAAGTGACAAAAATTAGTACTTGCTCTTAACGAATGTAAATCCAAAGAATGGTGACATTGCGCGTATGTGTGTTTAAGCTTTGTATTTTAATTGATTATCTCCTAACGAATGACGGAGAACAACAATGATATTAACGTATTAAGAATATTGAAATAAAATATATGCCAGATAAAACTGACGATGATTGAATTGAATAGGATTATTTGATATATTATTGTAAGAGTTTTTCAGCTCCAACAATCTATCCAGCTAAGCGGAAGTAACTCTTGTCTACTCCATCCTGTAAAGTGTTTCTTCCTCTCTCTCTCTCTCTCTCTCTCTCTCTCTCTCTCTCTCTCTCTCTCTCTCTCTCTCAACCCCTACCTCCTCCCCTTCTACATACATGAACGTGCGCGCACACACACACACACACACACACACACACACACGTGCGCGCGCGCGCGCGCAGTTTCCTCCCCCTCCCTCCTATCTATCTCTCTCTAACTCCAACTCCCCCTTTCCCTTTCTCTCGCCCCACTCATATCTCGCGTGCTCTTGCAAATGTCCTGGAAATGGAAAAGGAGGCTTCTCAGATCGATTCGGAGATTGGAACAGTTCCGACATCCTGATTGGCTCTCTGCCATGATTCCGCGGTACGACGATTGCATCTCGAGTATAACATCTTTCCTTTGTTTGTCATTCAAAAAATTTAATTTATTTCCATTGATATTTACCTTTTTTCTAACAAAAAGTCATACAGTAATTTGTATCTTTGTACATTTATTCCATTTCTTCTTGCCAATTATTCGACTTTATATGACAAAAAAGTTACAAAGATGACGAAAAAGGAAGAAGGCGCGAAAATTTATACTAGTGTAATCACGCATGAAAAATGAAGGATACGCAAATAGTTTAATCGCAAATGTTTATCGCTAATAGTACGAGCGGGGCATCGACGCGATTTCATGCGAACGTTCGAACGATGCTTTCGCCTGAATGGCACGAAATCACCGATTCGAAGCGAACAGGGGTTTGGCATTATGTGGTTTGTAACCGACTGCACCATGCATATACATGTATTCGCGTACGGGAGTTGTACAGGGCCGCATTCAGCGCATATTATCTTATGAAAAGTTGATTTTTTTCGTAATCGTATATCATATCGACGCTAGTCAGACCGTTTCCCCACACATTCAGATATTTTATTTCGCAAGTATTTACGAGTTATCAGACTCGTAAAGCGCGCGCGCGCGCGCGCAGAACGACAAGACAGCTACCATAAGGGCGTTTTAAGATCAAAGAAACTATGAGTAAAATAAAATAAAAGCCCTCAAGTGAAATTCTCTGTTTTACAAAGGAAGGAAGCAATAAGGGTAACGTAAGATGTTAATCGATACGTTTCATACCTTTTATACCACAATTGGCTCCTCTTCAAATTGTGTATGTGTGTGTGTGTGTGTGTGTGTGTGTGTGTGTATGTGTGTGTGTGTGTGTGTGTGTGTGTATGTGTGTGTGTGTGTAAAGCAATACGGATAAATATGATTCTGCGGTGGATCGTCCAACTACAGCCCTGCAATTCGTTGCTACGAAGCTGTATTTACGGATATGTCCTCGCGAGTGCGACGATTTCAACCTCGTTAATATCAACCGAGGTGCGATCGCGCGCGAGCGTGAGCGCCTAATTAATTAATCGAAACGGGCACCAACACGTAGGGACGTGCGTGTACGCTCGCGACACACACACGTCGCAGATTGGAAGAATTCTAATTTATTACGCGCAATGTGTGCATTCTTCTCTCCCGTAGCCGCCCCCTTCGCTCCATTCTCTCTCACTCTCTCACTCTCTCTCTCTCTCTCTCTCTCTCTCTCTCTCTCTCTCTCTCTCTCTCTCTCTCTCTCTCTCTCTCTCTCTCTCTCTCTCCCTCCCTCTCTCTCCCTCTCTCTTCCTCGCCTCTTCTTTCTCTCTCTGTCTCTCACTCTCTCAGCTCTATAATGGAATCATGTAATGATATATGTATTTGATAAATTTCAGGGGGATTTTTCGGCGACATTGCACTGCCAAACATCAGATATGACACAGAATGGCGTGAACAAAAGTTAAACAAGAGCTACTTGGAAGAATTAAAGAAATACAGGGAAGAGATATTCAAGGAAGGTCTTCAGGTAGAAGAGGAAGGTCTCACGGGTGAGAATATGTTACATTGAATATTATTAAATGCGGTTAGCGTACAATATCAACGTTCGATTATGCATCGATCGTGCAGATGCGGTGATAAGAATACGTTCCCTTATTTGTAATTATGGTCAGGGTTATCTGGCTCGACATTTAACTACACGAGCAAGTGCGCGATTTGGCCAATTTGTAGAAAGTTTTCGCGTTATAACTTGTGCGCTCTGCATCGTGCATATATTGATTAGCCTTAATTTGATTTGACCGCTTTAGAGATTCTCCAATTCAAAAGTGAACACGACAGCAACGAACAAGTATTTGGTGAACATGACAAGGTGCTCATTCAAGAGAAGCCGAAGTCGATCATGGTAGACCACAACCAATATAACACGGATGGCCAGTCTGCCGATGGTTTCAGCTTTAATACCAGGAACGACGATACTAATCCTACAGTGAAAGACGAGGGCTTTAAGTTCAGGTACTATAATGAATATGTATTTAACGCACGTTTCAATGTAAGAATTTGAGTATCTCAATGCACAAACAAATAAACAAACAAACACGTACGCGCACATACACACCAAATCTTGTGTATATTTCCTCTCTTCTCTATGTTACGCATGTACATTGTTCGGAGAAAGCGAACGTACGTTATTTTCTATTTTACTATTTTATTAATATGTCGTCGCGTGTTGATATAATGCGTAAACAATGCGTAAAATAAAAATGATACTGGTTTTATACGCTTGTGCTATCAGATTAGAATCCTCGACGCGAGTCTCGAAGAAGAGGCATCAACGACCAACTCGTCAGCAGTTTCCGAAAATGATGTCAAACTCGGAGACAACCAGGTCGAGACAATCGATCGATGATACGTCTCTTGATTCTCCAACAACTACAGATTTTACTACCGGCGCTAGTCCATATACAGACTTTGTATATAAGGACGGCATGAAAGAGGCATTGACCATGCAACCTAAAACGAGTACGCCAGAGCTATCGAGCCGACGGCATCATCACGGTAGCCGATGTCATCATCGCCGAAGGTAGGGAAATATCTAATTATCTAATTATAAATTCGCTGATAGACAAAAAAAGTATGTGAATTACCTTCTATCGATTGCGAGTTAATTAATCGGGTGAGAGAATCGAAAAGGACTCTGCGAGATGAACCGGATGAAAATTTAGGACAATCGTATAGGCTCATTGCGATTGATACTGGATATACAATCGATGGAAAACTATTTGTGCATTTTGCATGGTACGTTACTAGAGTCACGGATCGAATAACGTGTCTCTAACAGTTATCTGTGGTATAACGAGCCGTTTATAGTAAATAGTACATTCAGCTCTAATCGTTTTCCTCACATGTCTCTTTTCTCTGGATCGTGTCATTAATATACTTGATTTTATTTGTATCAAGTAGAAATAAAGATAAGTCCTCTCAATTTACTGCGGCCGATTAAACAGCACGCGCGATTCATTGGCACGGCTCTATTCTTCTTCCACTTGGCCACTGGCGAGAGAGCGTCAACCTTTAAGTATCGCCAATGATATTTCCGCTAGTGGAAAGCCATCTCGCAATGCCAATAACAATGCCCGTCATCGTAAAGCTGGAAAATAGGGTCCGATACTACCCTCTGGGCATTTTCAGTCCTCGAACTGCCAATAACATGTCAACGACGTTTCGTACCGTGGTGCCTGACCAGGTACGCTGTTCGCGCATCTATCGTGCATTATCGTATAGAGCGTCTTACGGAAATTCTGTCCTTTGGCTGAACGCTATGAGACGATAATTTTCTGCTACGATCGCCATATCGTCGATTCGGTCTTAACGATTCTCTTAGACGCTATCGCGACGCGTTGCCCCGCCTAGTCTAGTCTAGTCTAGTCTAGTCTCGCCTTGCCTCGCTATGTCTAATATCGCCAAACCAAACCAAACCAAACCAAACCAAACCAAATCCAAACCAAACCAAACCAAACCAAAACCAAACCCATACCAAAACCAAACCAAACCAAACCATACCATACCATACCATACCATACCATACCATACCATACCAAACCTAACCTAACCTAACCTAACCTAACCTCACCTCACTTCACACCTCAGCACACCACATCTCACTTAATCTCATCACACTTTACCTTTCCTAACGTCATCTCACATCGTAAGTCGAAATTATTTTGAAAGGGCAAGAACTCCCAAGTAGGTGTACTAATACTGGACAAAGAGCGAAATAGACACACATGTACACGCGCTGTTTTCGTTTATCCTCTTGTATTGTTGCATTGTGCGTATCGTTGTTCATGCGTCGCGTATATGGAGCGGTTAAGTGGAAGCATTCAGTTCAGGCAAGACCAAAGGTTCTCTTTCTAAATGTCTCTGGAACTCCAACGGGAATTATTGTGAGATCGTGTTTCACAGTATCGGATATAGGCCGTAAACACGCGTTTTCGTCAGCCTGTTTCAAAAGCTCAATCTACGTCCAGTGCGTTCCCCAATCCCTATGTACCGTACCGACCCTTTCGCCCCTTTCGACCCACCCCCGTGGGATTAGCACACTCATGTATATCCGTGAGTGTATATACATGACATACATGTGCGGGATGTACATACTACCAAGTTTCTGCAGAACACGAAACAGTATATAATACTCGGTGAATAACACAGACCTTGTTTTCCTTTCGGACCCGTGTTTGGACTCGTTTTTTGTTAAAACAAAGATGGACTCTTGTCGCATTAATTTTTAAGCGAAACACAAATTTTACCGAGGCACACAAGTGACATAATCGGCGTAACGCAAACGATTCAAAGATGAAACTAATTATATTCCTTTTTCTGTTCCTGATTCCTAGATATAATAATAGCGATAGCGTTTTGAAAGTGCGAAACTTTATCTCGTTGGCTCATCTCCGTTTGGCTCATTCTTTCTCTCGATTATTTTTCATGTACGCAGCTTCGTGTACTTGAACATTTTCGAGCGATTATAACGATTATAACCTGTGCAACGAGGTAACGGAACGGACCGTTGGCTCCCGGGAATATAGCGGCAATACGAACGCGTATACGAACAATACAGGTATAGAGGAAGCAGGGTAAATGCATCTCAGCAAGATTCATTAATGCACTGTACTCTGTATTTTTCCTCATCTCTTCACGATGCGGGCGTACGCACTTACGCTCTGTTCACACGCGAGACACGCTAATTAATTGTAACGCCCTACTGATTTAGGAACGCCTAGTCTAAGCGCTAGCACTGTTAGAACTGGCCGGCTTGTTGTTGAGGTAGACTCGAAGGAAACGAAGGAAAATCACGCATACCTACGGTAATTAGTGCTTAGTAGGTAAACGAGAGGTAGAAAAAACCGCGCATAAAATCTCGCGTACAAGTATACGTGCGCAACTTACTAACTTTATTAGTTCGACATTTTACGCGATCACAAGATATTGCTTTTGGAAAAATCACACAGTGTATGCTCCGCGGTGCAGTTTCGCGTGAGGACGTTTCGCGAAACGAAATAGGAAATGAAACGATGTCGTTCGAATGATCCTGATCGAACGGTCCGAACGGTCGTTTTGCTTGCATTTCTAATATAAACACTGACATTATTATTACATTGTCTGTCTCTTTTTCTCATTCATCATTCATCATATTCTGCTTCGCTCGGCCGATCAGTTTCGTCGTTTAATCTTACGCAGTGTCATTACGGTCGCCAATGATACTACGATCGGACGCTGAACTGACTGTACACTCGGTTCAACTCGGCAATTTCGTTTCGTCTCGTAAAAAAGTTACGCGGTGCCTTCGATCAATGCGTAGCGGCCCGTTTTATCGCTATGCCCGGAGAATCGTTTCTTGCGCTTGTTTTCGAGTCGGGAGAGAAAAGTTTTATGTCAATTTTAAAATTACACATTTCACGCGCAAACAGGCTCATGGTATCGCTGATCGTATAAGTTTTATATTGTCTCTATCGTAGTTTTATCGACATTCGTGATCAATGGATGTTTCAAAATGTTTCTCCCTCTCTCATTCGTTTTTTATTTCACTGAGAAAGAGAGAGAGAGAGAGAGAGAGAGAGAGAGAGAGAGAGAGAGAGAGAGAGAGAGAGAGAGCGCGTGCGTGTGTGTGTTTTTTAAATCAAATTAATATTTATTTATTCAAGTTAGCATATACATTTGAGATTTCACGTTTAAGATTTCATTACGTGATTTGATCATCACGTTTGAGGGGGGTCTATTCAGAGTAAAAATTATTGAAAATTCGACGCAAACATACGCGGCATGCCGAAAATACGACATGGGAAAGAGAAAGATCGTAGAAAATATCGTGGACAAGTATGTTGTTGAGTTACCATACTTAGTTTGCATCCTTAGAACCATACGGAGGAATTCTCATCGTCATTGCCATCGTCGGACGGATGATTTTGTCAACGATGCGTCGGATGAAGTTGTTTCCGTACACGATCGACGTCTTCGCTCGATTGAATTCTACAATATGGAACAGAAGCCAAAATACGTAGCGATCAAACGCAGCACGACGAGACACACGCTTTTAAGCAGAGCACGTCGCGCGGCTACCGCGAGGAAGGAACGAGTATGGGATCACGGTGTGATCCCTTACGAAATCGATGGAAATTTCTCCGGCGCTCACAAAGCCCTGTTTAAGCAAGCGATGAGACACTGGGAAAATTTTACTTGCGTCAAATTTGTTGAAAGGATGCCCAGAGAGCATCCCAATTACATCCTGTTTACGGAAAGACCTTGTGGGTGAGTTGCGTTGTCCGATATTCCGAGTTTCGCGATATACGAGCAGCGCCGTTGTTAATATATCGTAAAGTAACGAATGTACGCGAGCACTTTCTCTCGGCAGATGTTGCTCCTTTGTGGGAAAGAGAGGTAACGGACCGCAGGCTATTAGCATCGGGAAGAATTGCGACAAGTTTGGCATAGTAGTGCACGAATTGGGTCACGTTGTTGGATTTTGGCACGAACACACTCGACCCGATCGCGATCGCCACGTACAAATCATTCGCGATAACATTATGAGCGGTGAGTGCAACGTAGACACGTAGTTTGATAAATTACTCGAAACGTAATTGCGTGGGTGTACGAGGGACCTGTACATACATCCAGAAGCGTACATATCGTAAAGCACTCGCGCGCCCTGTGCACGTGTAATTTTCGGCGCATTGGTCGAGCATCAAGAGACAGCGCACATTTTCACGCGGCAAATTGCAAATAAAATATATCATCAGATCTATTTCTGATTCGCGTATTCGCGCGCTCGGTGAGTTTGGAACGCGAACGTGAGTAGGATTTATTCCAACGAGGCACGTTGCATGCGCGCTTTCAGTGCCAATGTTTGCCGCGTGGCAATGCAACCGCGTCCTAAGTATACGTTTGCCTTCGTGGCAGGTATAGGTAGGTTCCCGTTTCAGATTAATGGCCTAATTTATCGGTAATGTGCAAATATCACCGATCATTAGGAGCTATTGCGCGCTAGGACGCGCTGCTCCGGTGTGCCCCGATATATTTACACGTATGTACACGACAAATACCAAAACAAACGATCAGTCGTACAATTAGTGCAATTGCTGATGGGATAAGTTCGCTACTCACGTTCCGTGACGTGTCATTCAGTTCAGTTGGCGAAGCAACTTATCACGTGTCGCACGTGGGTCCCTCGTCTCCGAATTTTCACCCGAGAAGCACCGCTGCGCGCAAACTGTGCTCGTTCGAATACGACCGTAGGAGTATACGAGGTCTGTCCCAAAAGTATCCGACCTCAGCGTCTATATCTTTGTCATCCCTTGGGCATCCCTATTGCGGAAAAGGACAGGTATTCTGGGTATATTTAGGATGTGGACCTTCAGGTGTACTCCCACCAAGCGGCACGACTCACACAAGCCAGCTCAGTTCAATCGGCAACGGGGTACGCAGTTGTGCGAACGTCGAGAACTATCCGAACGTCGCGCATTTCACAACTGACTGAGAATGTGAGTCAAGGTCGTAGCCATGGGCCCATGCCTCATCGCCTTTTACGCAACTCAGGATCTTTATTGATGGATTCCAGGATGCTTTCGGTGATTTCGGTGACTCGAGCATTCTTTTGAGCTTCCGTAAGCACTCCTCGTTCCGGGACGAGAATCTTGCAATCCGAGCGACGCTCGGAGATTTCGACGCTCACACAACTGTTCGATCGTTGCCGACTGTGTGTGTAGAGCTGTTGGGTTGTGCCTAAGGGTCCATCCTAAATAACGAATACCCGAATTTTCCACATTTAGGATGCCCAAGGATAATAAAGATATACGCAGAGGTCGGATACTTTTGGGACAGACCTCGTGTACCTCGTGTACTCGGGCAATTCTGTTCTATCCGACTTGCCGGGGATCTTTTTAGCCTCGAGGAACGTACGAAAGTAAATACTCCCTTTCTTGCGGGCTTTTTACAGGTCAGGAGTACAATTTTAACAAGTTGACGGAAGAAGAAGTGAACTCGCTCGGCTTACCTTACGACTACGACTCTATTATGCATTATGCAAAGAATACCTTCTCAAAAGGTACTTACCTGGACACAATTCTACCTATGGAAATCCATGGAAAGAAGAGACCCGAGATTGGACAGAGAATCCGATTGAGCGAGGGCGACATTGCGCAAACGAATCTCTTGTACAAATGTCACAGTAAGAATTTCGCAAGTTACCGAATGTTTCTATTTTTATTTCGTAATGATCCTGAGCTCTCTCTCTCTCTCTCTCTCTCTCTTTTTCAAGATAGCCTGAGCACTCGAATGTAGTTAACGATTCTTCGTAATATCTTTCGAGACCGATAATGCTTGAAGTGAAACGAGATCAACGTGACCAAGTAGCGCGCGTGTAGATTTAGCCATTGTCACGCAACAATTATCGCGCAAACGCATATTTATACCCCGCGTCTCGGAATGTAATCGCTAGTGTAACGGATGAAATGAAATACATTGATTTGGATGAATCGGCAGAATGCGGTAGAACTTTCCAGGAGAACAGCGGTAGCTTTGGTTCACCGAACCACCCGAACAATTCTCCATCTATGGACGGAGAACGATGCGAATGGAGGATCACGGCGACGCACGGGGAACGCATCGTGCTGAACATCACGTCTCTCGACATATTCAAGAGCGACTACTGCCGCAGCGATTACCTCGAGATCCGAGACGGATACTGGTTCAAAAGCCACGTATTAGGTGAGACTGTGATCAAGGATATCAGGCGTTCAATTATCCGAGTAATAATAATAAGCGAGCAAGCAAGGCGTATCGCGTCGTGTCGCGCATTATCGTTTCATTCGACGCGCAGTGAACGATGAATTGAATGATGGAATTGTGTTTATCGCTTTGCGGGACTTGTACGGGTTGTTACCATCTTATAATTGGCTGATGCTTAGCGTTTGTCAAATTCAGGTCGGTATTGCGGCAGTGGCAAGATAAAGGAGCTAGTAGTGTCGACCGGAAGTCGTATGTTGGTAACGTACGTGACGTCTAGTCGACAAAACGGTCATCGTGGTTTCACAGCGAGTTACGAGGCTGTTTGCGGCGGCAATGTCGAGTTTGACGGCGTAGGTCATCTGGAATCACCAAATTATCCAGAGGAATATCAGTCCAGCAAAGAGTGCGTGTGGAAACTGTCCGTGCCTCTTGACTTTCAAGTGGCCTTGAAGTTTCAGTCTTTCGAGATCGAGAACCACGACAACTGCGTATACGACTATGTCGAAGTGCGCGACGGGCATAACGAGGATTCCGCCTTGATCGGCGTTTATTGCGGATACAAGATACCGCCGGATATCAAGTCGACGGGGAATCAATTGTTCGTCAAGTTCGTCAGCGATGGTTCCGTACAAAAGGCTGGTTTCTCGGCGACTTTTATGAAAGGTGAGTAGGCAAAGTTTCGCAACGTAATCTGCACATTGCACTTTATATGCACACGACGCAATCGCGTCGTACGACGCGCGGGTCGCTCTAAATGTTTGTCAGTTTTAATTTTCACGTTTAAGAATACGACGAGTGCAAGATGACAGACCACGGTTGCGAACACGATTGTATCAATACGCTGGGTGGGTACGAGTGTTCTTGCAAAGTCGGTTTCGAGTTGCATTCTGACGGGAAACACTGCGAAGGTAAGGGGAGATTCTCTCAAAGTTCTCTCTGGCGATCCGTTCGGTCTGTCCGAACGGATTCAATTCAATCAATTCAAAGGAAAGATAAATTTTTCCCCTTTATATACATATGTATCTCTCTCTCTCTCTCTCTCTCTCTCTCTCTCTCTCTCTCTCCCTCTCTCTCTCTCTCTCTCTCTCTCTCTCTCTCCCTCTCCCTCTCTCTCTCCCCCCCCCTCTCTCTCTCTCTTCCTCGTCTCTCTCTCTCTCTCCCCCCTCCCTCTCTCCCCCCTCCCTCTCTCCCCCCTCCCCCCTCTCTCTCTCTCTCGACAGATGCCTGCGGTGGATTTTTTGACGATAATAACGGCACCATTACGAGCCCGTCGTTTCCCGAGTCATATCCAGGAAATAAGAATTGTATCTGGGAAATTATCGCTCCACCTCAATATCGCATCACTTTGAATTTCACACATTTCGACTTAGAGGGCAACAATATGTACCAAGAAGAATGCGAATACGATTCAGTGGAAGTGGTGAGCAAACTCGGTGACGACGTTTACAGAAAGCACGGAATATTTTGTGGCGCTCGATTACCACCACTGATTACATCCGAAGGCAATTTTATGAGAATCACCTTTACATCCGACAACAGGTCGTACATTTTATAATCGTTGCATGCATCACGATCGAAAGTATTTATTTCCGATACGCATGGTCGGAGTAAGAATATTACGAGAGTCCATGGCAGGGGACACGGGGGGGGGTGGGGGGTTAAGGGCGTTAGAAACGTGCGAAACATTGTACACGTTCGTGTATTGTCGAAATTGTTCGAAACGTAAATTTTGTTTCGTATGTCCCTTATTCGTTCAGTTGTAACGTACCCTTTTCTGGAGATCTTTACGAAATCTTTACGCCATGATGAATGGCCATTGAAGAACGGCCTCTTACACCGACGTAAATATCGGGACGTGTCGTTGGAATATCTGTCATTTGCAATTTGTCCTTCGTCGAGCAGTGTACAAAAATCGGGCTTTGCTGCTGTATTCTTCACGGACATGGACGAATGCGCCAATAATAACGGAGGGTGTCAGCATGAATGCAAAAATACGATAGGTTCCTACCAGTGTTCATGCCACAATGGTTTCACGCTCCACGAAAACGGTCACGATTGCAAAGAGGGTGGTTGCAAGTACGAAATCACCGCGCCTATGGGAACGATCACTTCGCCGAACTATCCGGATTACTATCCTGGCCGTAAGGATTGCGTCTGGCATTTCACCACGAAGCCGGGCCATCGAATAAAATTGGTTTGCATTGCTATTCTCGCTATCTTGTAAATTCGCGAGTGAATGTTCGTTCGTTCGTCGTGGCTTGACAACGCGCAACGTGCAAGACAAGCAAAAGTCTCTCTCGGCGGCAGGAAGCGGGAGGGGGGGGGGGAGAAATGTTCGACAGTTTACGCAGTTAAAATTGCAGGTTTTTAGAGTTTTCGAGATGGAGCCACATCAGGAATGCGCGTACGATCACATTGCGATTTACGATGGAGATTCGCCGGACAGCATTACCTTGGGCAGATTTTGCGGTACCAAGGAACCACACCCGATCCTCGCGACGGCCAATCAAATGTACATGGTTTTCAAAAGCGATGCTTCCGTACAGAGGAAGGGATTTCTCGCGACTCATAGCACAGGTGATGAAAGAACCCGGGAGTGCACACACTTTCGCGGGAGGCCGGAACGACACGAACAGCCTTTCTAACGAAAGCCTAACGTCGAGGCGATGTTACGAGTAAAATATAAAATAGCGCGAAAGTGGTGTCTTATCTGTCTTACTGTTTTGTCTCGCTGCTGTCAGGCAAAAGTCATCGAGACCTCGATCAATTCGCGTTACAGCTTGCGGCGGTCATCTTATGGCGACGGATCGAGTGAAGCATTTGTATTCTCATCCGAAATACGGTTATCACAATTATGATCACAGAACCGACTGTGACTGGGCGATAGAGGCGCCACTCGGCAAAAACGTTCACCTGACTTTTCTCTCATTCCATCTCGAATACGAAAGCGAATGCGGATACGATTTTGTCGAGGTCTTTTCCGGTTTAGATGCGTCCAGTCCACCTTACGGACGGTACTGCGGCAATTCCGTAAGTATCCGTAAGTAGATGTAAATGACGAGCGATATCGCGAGTGAAAGTACAAGAGCGAGAATCTTGCGTACTCGCTCGCGTATACACTCGCGTGAGATGAGCAGGATGTGGCGCAGGAAAAATGGGAGCGTTAAAGTTCTACTTACGATCATAGTTGTCACATTGCAGAACACCACTAGCTTCGTATCGATGAACGAGGCGCTGCTGATACGATTCAGAACGGACGATACGATCGCGAGCAAAGGCTTCGTGGCGATTTTTCTAGCGGTTGATCGGCAGGAGAGCGAGGAGAATCTTGGCGGGGAGGACGGCGAGGAAGATTCGAGGAATCTTTGATCTCTGGTCAAGTCCGCGAACAGATTGGATTATGATCATCGAAGGGATTATCATCGCGAAGGTATAACACCCGCGCGGCAATACGGCAACGTTACGACGCGTATTCTTTAAGTTGTGTAAGTAAGATGTAATTTTTACATATCGGGGGTAGCAAGTTAGTTGGACGCTTCGATCAGGATAACGTGTCTTTGTAATCGTATATCGTATATCGTATATTGATTGAACACGACACCAAGTACGATCGGAGAAGCATAGCTCGTAACATAGGAGATCAGTACAATCGTACAATCTCCCTTTCATCGGAATCGCTATCACTATCAACGGTGATGATTAATGTTACTTATACGACTATTCGTCAAGAAAATAAAATATTTCGTAAGATACAAAATATTTGGCCTATCGCGAAACATGTATGTGCCATGTAGTTAGGGTGTAATGTATCGATCGATCGATGGTGTACTCGATGTCGGTCGAAGCGAAAATTTATTCAAAAAAAGAAAAGAATCATAAACAACGTCATATCGACACTCCCACGGCGAGTTAGCAATATACGCATACATATTGATTATTATATGTACAAAATATTAGGTTATTGACATTGTAATCGGCAATAGAAAGGAATAGATATCAATCTATAACCCATTGATACCTCGCTCTCATAAGAAACAGGCACTGCCGAGGTGACAGTAATATTAAAGTATAACTCTACTACACGTTACGATGGAGAGATTACACATGTAAAAGAAACAGAAATCAACGTAAGGATGTCAGACGATCAAAGTATTTTATAATACCATACATACATTGCTGGTCTACGATGCTGATTTGTATTATCGTGATAATGTGTATATACGTTTCGTGTGCAGCACGTATTCGCTCGCCAGCGTACTTTACGGATATGAGTTTCCGGTGTCCACAAGTGGAAGCATTGTCTCGAAGGAGATGCGACAGTCAACAGTGCTTTGTAGATATTTCGTTGTGTTTTCCGATATTACAATATCGAAATTTAACGCGTATAAAATGTATGATATCATGGTGGTGGTGGTGTGTGTGTGTGTGTGTGTGTGTGTGTGTGTGTGTGTGTGTGCGCGCGTGTGCGTGTATGTGTGTGTGTGTGTGTGTGTGTGTGTGTGTGTGTGTGTGTGTGTGTGTGTGTGTGTGTGTGTGTGTGTGGTGTGTGTGTGTGTGTGTGTGTGTGTGTGTGTGTGTGTGTGTGTGTGGATGGATTTGTCGTGCGTGGGTGCGGTTATTGCGTCTACACACATTTCCACGTATTGGAATTCGCGAGAGAATATTTGACAGCTTGTCGAATGTTCATTGTATATAGATAAAAATATTTAAAGATATATAGTATGTCGTTTCTTTTATATGTAGCGACGGTAATAGTATTTGGTACAGCATACCAAATTGTCCAATAAATATTCGAATGTTTATCTTTTCATATCTACTTATACAAAGTGGAATGTAATATTTTATAGATAATTATATGTAAGTTATAAGGGAGATGTTAAATCATATCCAGGCAGAGAAAAAAATTTTGAGATTGATTTTATTGCGAAACATTGTGATAGGTGTGTTATTCTGTAGTTGGTGCGTGCTGAACGGAGGGTTGTTAGTGGAATCGATAATGTGCGGCAGGAGGTTGGTCTTTAGGCGTTGGTTCGCTCTCAGGCGAGATTAATGGTCGGAGTGACTGCTTGCTTGCGGAGTTAACCTGTATGTGGAGATACGTGTTAGTAATTATCGGTAGGTAGTGCGGTTGAGTACGTTTTGCAGATAAGATCACTCTGGTAGGTAATGTAAATGCAAGAACCCGACACATTTTCCTTCTTTCTAACAACAACATTGTCAACTATCACTACACCACCAACCACCATCGGGCAGATCTTGTCTTCTTTGACTTCACTATCTAGACCCGATAGCATCGCGACAGTACAATGGAAGACTAATAGACAGTATAAAGATTTTTGCTCTTTTTCGAGGATTCCGAGTAAGGTCGGATCCAGGAACTCTCGGGCTCACAAAGTCACTGTTCAACTTTTTATTCAAATTTTCTTTTTTCTCGTAGGTCAAAATTCCAGAGCACGTCACTTACTACAATAGTCAGCTTATTCTTACACTCAATGTCGTCTACTCTTTTCATTGACGATGTTCCACTGTACTTGACAACCGACAAAACAAGAGGACATGTCATCTTGCGGGACAGGACAGTTTGCAAACACTCCTTGTTCTTCTCCTTCTTTATACTTCTTTAACTTCCTTTATTTCCCTTTTCACTCCATCATTATTACTATACCCATAAACATTTTCTTCTATCGACTTCCCTTCAGATACGTTTGCCTACATGACTGTACAATATTAATGCTGAGTCGGAGTCTTCGGAATAATCTTCAATGACAATGATAAACTGGTTTCGTGTGGTTCTGTATTTTCGGGCAAATCTAACCTTTGATTTGGCTGATTTTACACTTGGCGATTTTACACTTACCAAGACCCGGTTCTTGGATCGAAACTTTCTCATTATTTTGGAAGTAAGAGGCTGGTACATGTCATATGTATTTGTTTTTACGGTGGCAGCGATGTTTTCCGGGACAAGCAGCTGATACGTGTTACTCTCACTTGTCTTCGTGACGATAGTTTCTTCGGAAGAATAGCCTGCTGCAGATTCTGCTCAACCATCCATGCCTGGTGAGAGCAACCTGTGTTATTCTAAAAGTCACTGTCCACCCAGTCGGGCAGATAGAGCTGGATGATTTCGACAGTCCTCCTCCCTGCGGTGGTGACCACCAGGCGCCTTTGCCATCGTAGGAGGAGCTGCTTGCCGAGCTTGGTGCTCCAGCCGCTCCGTGGCCCCGGTGAGCGCGATTCACCTGCCTCCATATTGCGACAGAGATCTCCCCTTCGCATATACATATTCCTGTAAAGGCAAGGAGCTTCATCGGGGGCATGCCTGCCAGGGCCGTTGTCGCTACATGGGAGACTGTCCTATAGACACGGAACACAATGACATTTACCGACCTGGCCATTGTTTGTCGCAAACGTCACAATCACCACTTTTGAATCGTCGAAATCAAACGTTACATATTGTTTCCGATGGATGGCAGATTCACTGTAAGTTTCTGCAAGGAATCGACGAGCTTCAGCTTATATTCAGCAACTTATACTAGCGCATATATTCAAGTCAACCTAGTATAGAAGTACACTACATTGGAAAAATAATTTATCGTGTCCCATTTTAGTTTCGTCAGGCCACCACCTTTCTGACCAAAAGTAAGAGGGGGCGGGGGTGCGAATAGGCAACGACATCGGCCCGCGGTCTCACTCGCTTCGCGTCCGATCTCGGATTGTCGTCGCTTTGTCGTACCTTTTTGTGTCATTTTATCATCGTAGAAGTATTTTTAATAGTGTTTTGGAATGCTCTCGAAATCAGCTGTGTACAGATTAACGTTGACTACCGGCGAGTTTTAAGCGTTGTTTGCTGTGAATATTGGGAGTGCCGTGCAAAATTCACGCGATCCGAGTTTATTATAATAATTAGCATGTACCTGAATAATATATTTGTTCCGGGTCGCGAATGATTTGTCGCGTGTGTTGCGCCATGGCTTAGCTGAGAAGCACGGGGCGAGGGGAACTCTTTCGGGTATCGGTAATTAACAACAAGATCATTAACATTAATAACTTATCTTTCATTTGGGACTCGTCGCATGTAATAATTGCGCGTGATATGTTAATTGACCGCTTCTTTTTGGAGAATATTGTTTTAAAACGGACGGATTTCCTCTGAAATTAACGAGTGTAGCAAATAAATTGTCGATAGTTTTACAAAATAAAAATGCCTCAAACATATTGACACTTAATCTATTTCGCCGCAATATTAAAATTCGACATCCAATACTAAGTAAACGCTCAACCGGTGCCGATGATGATATAATCGTGTGGAACTTTAAAAACAAATGTTTCATATGAGAAACGTGCTATCGATGTGACATCTTTTTCCTTGTCTGACGAATAAGAAAGAACTGCTATGCCGATGGCAATGTCAACTGCTTCCACGTTACTTTCGTCCTCTAAAAATTTAAACAATTGTTCATCTTCCACAGAAGATGCTGAACAGTTATCAGAAGATATTTTGCTTTCATTTATTAAATACGCATATCTTTTTCTTTCTCTAATAAGCAAATTTTTACAACATTCGTGATTCAGGGTCGTTTTTGAAAAAATCCATGCTCCTGAAATCAAGTTTAGCCATTTCAACTAAAGTTTAGGAACAGTCACAGATGAAATAATGTAAGGTTTACTGCATATACTGTCGAAATTCAATATAGTATTCCACAACTTTTTCTAATCCTATCTATTAGAGAATTTATCAAGGGTTCGCAACTAGGTAATCCGTGAAGCGTCTGCAAATTAATTATAAGTTGCAGCAAAGCTGGCAAGACGTAACCTAAATAACAATAGTTTCCTCCCTGAAGCAAATCAAGAGTGCATGCTAAATTTTTCATTACCACAGCATATTTTTCAAACAAGCACGTTCCTGTATCTTGAGCCACTCAGGAGATGAAAACTCTTTTCTGTATATCTAAACGTTTACGAGATACTGAAGGTTAAAATTTTTAACTTGTACTCCAAATATCTCCGTATCTACCAAGAATTGAGAGTTGAGATTTATGGTGAGAATAGGGTTGACATAGGACAATATTGCGACAAAAACGAGCTCCTGTATGTTGAGACGTCTAGGAGATAAAAGGCCCTTTACTGTATCTTTAACCGTTTAGGAAATATCGAAGTTTAAAATTCTTAATTTGTACAGTAAATATCTCCGTACCTACTAGGAACAGGGAGTCGAGATTTATGGTGGTGAGAACAGTGTTGATATAGGATTATATTGTGGTAGAAGCGCGTTCCTGTATCTTGAGCCGTTTAGGAGATATCGAAGGTTAAAGTTTTGAAACTTGTACCATTGATATCTCCGCTTCTACTGGGAGCAGAGAGTCGTAATTTATGGAAAAATGTAGGTTTTTGAGAGGACTTTAATTTGGTGCCAGAACCAGGCCTGTATCTCTAACCGTTTAGGAGATATCGAAGGTTAAAGTTTTCCAACCTTTCTCCGTTGATATCTCCGCTTCTACTGGGAGTAGAGAGTCGTCACTTACGGCAAAATGTAGGGTTTTGAGAGGACTTTAATTTGGTGCCAGAGCCAGGCCTGTATCTAACCGTTTAGGAGATATCGGAGATTAAAATTTTTCAGCTTGTACCGTTAATATCTCCGCTTCTATTGTGAATTGAGTGTCGAGATTTAGGGCAAAAGCGTGTACCTGTTTTTTGAGTCGTTTATGAGATACCGAAGATTACATGTTTAAATTTAAATATAATTTTAGTTTAATTCTTTAATTTTAATGTTGATATTTTCGTTTCTACTTGGAGTTGGAAGTCGATGTTTATGGCGTGAATACGGTTAATATAGGACTATATTGTGGCGAAAGCGCGTTCCTAGGTTTTGAGCCGTTTCCGCGAAGAAACTGGTCGGAGGACGTTCGCAGCCGTGGTGGAATTTGACGTTCGCGTTCGCAAGGGCTTAGTATTTTACTCGCGAAGGGACGTCATCGTCCTTCTTTTCACAACGGTGTCGGATGTTTAGCTCCTTTCTTCCTAATTTTCTGCGACAACAAGACCGCGTCGGGGCCCTAACGGGGCATGTTCGCTTATAACTAGCAGCGTTTATCTGAGGAGCGCTTCTCGGGAATATTCTGCTCGAAGGATTAGTCCGCGATAGAACGTTTCCTGTGATCGGAGACCGCTTTAGTTTAAAGTTAAATTGTAGCAAGAGTATTGTTATCGGGCAGCTCTGATGCGGGCTGCTGGCATCAATCTGTGACGTCTACCGTGCGCTTTTGCGATTACCGGTAAATTCAGTGTTCTCGATTGCTCGCGCGATTTCAGGTGGCCATAATATGGGGATAATACGTGGCAATGTGTGGCAATAATATATAGCAGTAATATACGGCAACAATATATGGCAACAATATATCGCAACAATATATGGCAATAATATATAGCTATAATATATGGCAATAATT